AGGGATTACTAAATGCCTGTAAAAAGAAAAATACACTATATAGAGAATTCATTAAACAAAGGACTAAAGAGGCAGAAAATAAATATAAAAACTATAAAAACAAGTTAACCAATATTATAAGGGTATGTAGGAAAGAATACTATAGTAAAATATTATATTATAACAAAAACAATATTAAAGGAATATGGGACATATTAAATAGTATTATTAAAGATAGTGCTAAACAACAGAGCTACCCTCAATATTTTATTGATAACAATATTAAAAAGTACAATATGGATGATGTGGTCAACAGCTTTAATCATTTCTTTGTAAATGTTGGACCAAACCTGGCAAGAAAATATCCTGATCCATTGTTATCTGAGGATTGGAATGATAACCTCACAGTGAGAAATCCCAGTTCAATGTTCCTCACAGCAGTGGAAGAAAAAGAAATAATTGATATGGTAAATAAATGTAAATACAAAACATCTACTGATTCAAATGAAATGGATATGAAAGTTGTAAAAAAGGTCATAGAGGGGATTACTGAGCCACTGACATACATCTGTAACTTATCATTCAAAACTGGAAAATTTCCTAACGACATGAAAATAGCTAAAGTTGTGCCGCTGTATAAAAATGGTAGACACCTCTTCACAAATTACAGGCCAGTTTCTTTACTTCCACAATTTTCCAAAATTCTAGAAAAAGTATTCAATAACAGCAAACAGCTCAACATCACTGGCATTAACAGATTCAATTGAGGAAATCACAAATGCTATAGATCACAAACTGCATTCAGCTGGAGTATTCATAGATCTCAAAAAAGCTTTTGATACAATTAATCATAACATATTAATCAATAAACTTGAACGGTACGGGATTTTTAAAAACAAAAAAAAATGAACGGTACTATACTACTGTAATACAGTAATATAATATTTCTGTAATACCAGTAAATAGTCTATATATACCAGTAAAGTACTAATACCTCTTAATACCAGTAAGTACTAATACCTCTCTGTAATACCAGTAAAGTTAATATCTGTAATATTGTAATACCAGTAAAGTACTAATACCTCTGTAATACCAGTAAAGTACTAATACCTCTCTGTAATACCAGTAACTAATACTTCTCTTAATACAGTAAATAATACCTCTCTGTAATACCAGTAAAAGTACTAATACCTCTCTGTAATACCAGTAAAGTACTAATACCTCTCTGTAATACCAGTAAAAGTACTAATACCTCTCTATAATACCAGTAAAAGTACTAATACCTCTCTGTAATACCAGTAAAAGTACTAATACCTCTCTATAATACCAGTAAAAGTACTAATACCTCTCTGTAATACCAGTAAAAGTACTAATACCTCTCTGTAATACCAGTACTACAGTAACAGTACTAATACTGCAGTATGAAGTACTCCACTACAGTATAAAGTACTCCATTACATTGCTGCCAACTGAAATCAAGCAATAATTTATTGTCGTCTCGTTTTTTAACAAATCAATAGAAAGGTATTGATAGAAGATAGTTTTAAAAACTAATTTTCCGAGCGCCCAGCGGTGTTTAAAGTTGGACAGATTTCAACTTGAAGCGACTGGAGGTGTTTGCATTTTCTCTCTACCATCACAACGCGCTGCTAAACTGTTGCAAGGAGGATGCTAGCGAGAGGTCATGTGATCACGTCATGTGATCACGTAGGCCCACTAGTGTGACTGAATCCTGCCATGCTGTAGAGAGTGTTGCTGCACCGTGTATTAATGGATGTGAGGAGTTTCCGCGTGCGTTTCAAAATTTTTGGCGAAGTAATTTAAATACTCGATAATGGAAAATTGCACATCGTCAAAACAACAATGAAGATATTATCGCAAACAATATATATTGCCCACCCCTACTCCTGCCCCTGTCTGTCTACCTGAATGTCAGTCCCGTATCAACCAGTTAAAAACCAACACAAAGCCTTTAACATGAGTAGGACCAATGCCGTCTCTATGTAATCACACAGGAGTGGTGACCTCTGACCTGATCTCTGACCTGAGATCACTTTCAGACTGTGGAGGGTTAAGCGGCTCATTCAGTCTATAAATAAGCGGCTGTGTAAAGAGTGTTGACGTGTTCCTGGAGATCTGCCTGGCTCATAATTACAGTCTGTGTTTACATGTGTGTTTCTGACTGACATGTGGCCTGAGCGCAGCACACGCTACTCTACACGCTACTTTACACAATGCTCTACACCCAAAGATTAAACACCAGAGAAAATACGACCAAACCGGACATTAAACACCAGAGAATATACGACCAAACCGGACATTAAAAACCAGAGAATATACGACCAAACGGGAGATTAAACACCAGAGAATATACGACTAACTGGACATTAAACACCAGAGAATATACGACCAAACGGGAGATTAAACACCAGAGAATATACGACTAACTGGAGATTAAACACCAGAGACTATACGACCAAACAATAGATTAAACACCATAATTACAGTCTGTGTTTACATGTGTGTTTCTGACTGACATGTGGCCTGAGTGCAGCACACGCTACTCTACATGCTACTTTACACAATGCTCTACACCCAAAGATTAAACACCAGAGAATATACGACCAAACCGGACATTAAACACCAGAGAATATACGACCAAACAAGAGATTAAACACCAGAGAATATACGACCAAACCGGAGATTAAACACCAGAGAATATACGACTAACTGGAGATTAAACACCAGAGAATATACGACCAAACAAGAGATTAAACACCAGAGAATATACGTCCAAACCGGAGATTAAAAACCAGAGACTATATGACCAAACGGGAGATTAAACACCAGAGACTATACAACCAAACAATAGATTAAACACCAGAGAATATACGACCAAACCGGACATTAAACACCAGAGAATATACGACCTAACTGGAGATTAAAAACCAGAGACTATACGACCAAACGGAAGATTAAACACCAGAGAATATACGACCAAACCGGAGAGTGGTTTGGTTTAATCATTGTTTTCCTGGTAATGTTGATCTGTTTATTTCTTACACAGAGAGAGAGATGGATGTGTTGGATCAGAAATAGCTTCTACTATCTTTAGCTATGGTACTGCTAATGGACACGGACACACACACACACACACACACACACACACACACACACACACACTCTCTCTCTCTCTCTGAAGTCTTGTTGTGTGTTCAGACTAAAACTTCAGCTCTGTTTCAGTGGATCAATCACATCTTCACCAGGACCAGCTCAGACCAGTTCAGACCAGTTCAGACCAAATTTGAACTGGGTTAACACCAGACCAGTTCAGACCTGATGGTAGTCTGTGGTCGACTAGTTTGTTCTTACTTTTTCTTCTTGTTTTTACATCAGTTAAGACCAAATAAAAGTGGTCCAGACCAGTTGGAAGTGTTCCAGTTTAATCAGGGTCATTCACTTTAGACCAGTCAAAGTAAACTGCTCTCAGACCAGTTAGGACCATACCAGGAGTAAAACGCCAACAGATATTGGATAAAACCGAGGAATAAAACACCAGTAAACATGGGATGAAACCAGGCAAAAAACACGAATGTAGAGGGCCACACTTACCAGTATTGGTATCGGTCTGAAACTTGCCAAAACCACCAGATTTAATGTCATAGCAAAAAACCAGTAGAATCCGAGGAACCGCACTAAGCTGGTTTAAGTCATATTTATCAGATTGTTTGCAGTTTGTACATGTTAACGATGAATCTTCAATAAATACTAAAGTTAGTCATGGAGTTCCACAAGGTTCTGTACTTGGACCAATACTATTTACTTTATATATGCTCCCTTTAGGCAACATTATTAGGAATCACTCCATTAACTTTCACTGTTATGCAGATGATACGCAGTTATATCTATCGATCAAGCCCGATGAAATTAATCAATTATCTAAATTACAAACATGTCTTACGGACATAAAATCCTGGATGACCTGCAATTTTCTGATGTTAAACTCAGAAAAAAATGAAATTCTTGTTCTTGGCCCCAAAAACCTTAGAGACTCATTGTCTAAAGATATAGTTACTCTAGATGGCATTAACTTGGCCTCTAGCACCACTGTCAGGAATCTTGGAGTTATCTTTGATCAGGATTTGTCATTTAACTCCCACATAAAGTAGACCTCTAGGACTGCCTTCTTTCATTTACGTAATGTTAGAAAAATTAGACACATCCTATCACAGACAGATGCAGAAAAACTAATCCATGCATTTGTTACTTCAAGGCTGGATTACTGCAACTCCTTTATTATCAGGTTGCCCCAATAAGTCCATTAAAATGCTCCAATTAATTCAGAACGCTGCAGCATGAGTACTGACAGGAACTAGAAAAAGAGATCACATCTCTCCTGTACTAGCTTCTCTGCATTGGCTCCCTGTAAAATGTAGAATAGAATTTAAAATCCTCCTCCTCACCTATAAAGCTCTTCATGGTCAGGCCCTTCAAGGTCTTGCTCATGGTGGTACTGTTGGGTCTCTGTAATTAATGTTTTAAAGAGTTCGGTCTAGACCTGCTCTATTTGAAAAGTGTCCTGAGATAACTTCTGTTATGAATTGGCGCTATACAAATAAAACTGAATTGAATTGAATGGAGGGAACTAGAAATATCTCCCGTTTCCAAGTCCTCAACTCAAGGTTCGTCCTACTTACTGGAGCAGTGAACAATGTTGTCATTGCATTAGAACATTATGGGATGGTAATGATTCTTCCAGGTGTTAGTCAGATCATCAGCTGTTACTATGGAAACGGAGTCATGGCTTGTAAAAAACTTGATTGAAAAACACGTGAAAATATAAAATAATGATCACATTTCTTTTTTCAAGGTGTCCATTATCAGGAATTAATGTCCTCCAAGTCGTTCCTTACATACACACATACACACACATATATATACATACATATATACATATATACATATATATGTATGTATGTATATCTTGTAAAAAAGATAACTTAATTTCTTATATAGAGTGT